CTGCCTGTTCTGTGGCATCACCAAGGGACTATTAATTTCCTTTAGTGTTCTGTGTCCGTTTGTCTTCCCAGTAAGCTTTTACTAAGGCAGGCAGGTTCTTTCTTTGGTACTCTGCCATTTTGTTCAGGATTTTGAAAATTTCCTGAATCCTGTTCTTACTATTAGAGAACCAATGAAGAAGTGAGTCCACCGGAACTGGGTTCTTTTTCAGGGTTTTTCTCCTGGTCTGAGGTGAGGAGAGAGGGCCAGAGAGAAGGGTTACTTAGTTTTTCTTCCTAAGTCTAAGGCTGAAGGAGGAAGTAGGGGGAGGGGAGCCTTCCTTTACTGCACACTGACAACCTCTGGGCCCTTGGGGCCTACAGCACAGGCAAGGTAGAAACAAGGATGTTGGGCCTTCTTTGGGCTCTGAACTATGGAAGAATGGACTCCCCCTCTTCTGGATGCACAACCAGAGAGTCTACCCTCGCTGATGCCAGTTCTCCAGGAATCAGTTTGAGTCTTCCCTCTTTGTTTTGTGTTGTTATTGTTTTAAGATTTTATTTGTAAGTAATCCCTACACGCAACATGGGGTTTGAACTTCCCACTCCAAGATCAAGAGTTGCATACTCCTCTGACTGAGATGATGCCATGAGTCTTCCCTCTTTTGATTCTGGTGTTTGCTTGCTTCTGTGGAAGACTGAAACAAAAAGCTTCTTAAGTTTGGAAACTGACTTATCAACAAGTGCAGACGGGAAGATTGTCAGGGCTATGTATATTCTTAGCTTGCCCCTAAAGCAGCCCCTCTAAAAAGTATCTTTTAATGCCCCGTCCATGCAGAGGTTCCCATCCTGGTCATTTAAAGGGTAGAAGGACAAGAATTAAGAATGCTGATTCTGCTGCCACTTAATTTGGCTGATTCTGGCCTAAGCCTGGAGCCCAGTGACTCAGGGGCAGGATAGGGAGTTTCAGGGGAGCTGTGAGTCATGGAAGTGAGCTCCATCAGAAGAGTTTGGCACATCTCACTGCACTAATGGCAGAAGCCTTACTATCTCACTTCCCCTGGGTGCTCTGTCTCCTATAAAGAGAGAGTACTGGTAGAAAGGACTAAGCAGTCTGGTCTCAGAATGGTAGTTCAGAGACACAAAAAAGGATGTGTAGGTCCCTGAATTAAAATGTATCCCTATCTCAGGAGTCCTTGGGGTCCCTCTCATGAAGGCAAAAGAACATCAATATAGAGTAAGAAAAGGAAGAATACCATTTCTCAATGGAAGGACACAGGGTCCCACTGCTGGACTATTTCATCTGTTCTGGCATGAAGGAAGCTTTCTAGACTTCAGCAGTCCTCTGGTCTCTGAAGCTCTGGTTTGCAAGGAAGGGAGAGATGAATGGGAGTGGGGACATTTGGGGTTTGGTGTGGGAAGAGCAGGCCGACTTTGGAGATTGTCGAACTTGTCTATGAAAGCCCTAGGGCGTCCTATTAAACACGGTCGGAAGAGGTAGGGTGGAGGTGAGAAGTGGGAGGCCCAAGCCTTTGAAAGGGTTAAATGGAAGGGGAGGGCGCGCCTTTGGATTCCGGCAGATGAGGGGTTAAGGAGATGGGCGGGGTGGTCCCGGGTAGGCCTGCCCCCTTGTGGACCAATGGGCGTGCGTCTCTTGAAGGGGGCGTGCCTCACACTTGAGGTCGTGGAGAGGCTGGACTCCTATGGGCCAATCAGCATGATCGCTGCCCATGGAGGGCGTGGTCTTAGGGGGGCGTGGCGGCCGCGTTTGCCGCGGCGGGGGTGTTGGGGCATTGGGCGGGGCGGGCGGCCCCATCAGCTGGTAGGAAATGGCCTGTGAGTCAGAGGGGCAGCGGAGTCGGCAGCGCGGAGCCGGGGCGGCCACCGGGAGGGACAGTCGCGGGGAGGGGTGCGGCAGTGGCTGGGGGGCTGCGGGCTCCAGAGCCCGCTGGTGTTGCACACGAAGCTGAACAGAGAACAGCCTAGCAGAGCAGAGCTCTGCCTGAGCCACCCTTTGTCTGGGTTGGGGGCCCGTGGCGGGGAGGACCCGGGATTCGAGGGGAGGGACCGGGACGGGACGGAAGGGCCCGGAGCAGCGGCCGCCGCGGCGGAGCCAATTTAAGAGCGGGGTGAGTGTGTGCTAGGGGGGAAGAGCAAATCTCCGAAGCTCCACTAGGGAATGGGGCCTGTCCCAGGGTCTGGGGAGGAGAGGGGTGAAAATGGACCTGGGAGACTAAGCAGGGGTGGGGGAATAGTCCAGAACAAGGAGTCCAGGAAAAGGGGTGAGTTGGCCGGGCTTAGTTTGGAGGAGGTGCTGACATCTGCTCCCTCTCCACTGAAGGTAGAGGGTTTTAGGCCAGCCGTTGAGGGGCTGGTGAGAGAGCAGAGCTTGACTTTTGTAATCACAGTGGTGGTCCATGGGAGTAGCCCCCCTAGCGTGTGTGGACACGTATAGGGAAAAAATGCAGAGCAGCTGGCTGTTCTCTCTCAACTGGATGAGGGTAGAAGGCACATGGAGAGGAATTCTCCTTCCTGTCACCCTCTTTGATCAGTGTAGAAATGGGTATCTTTAATACTGAAGGGAAGGGGAGAGTGAGCCTGGAGCTTATATCTATACCAACACCCACCCTACCCCACCTCCCAGGCCTAGCAGGTGTCTGAGGTACAGAACCATGGTATTCTGGGACATGTTGTTTTTGCTGGCCTTGCTCCCTGGGCATGTTGGGAACTGTAGTCCTTGCCAGCCACAGCCTGGCACAGCTGTTTGACGCCAGCTGCTGCCCACCCCCTGCACAGAGTGAGGTTTGGCCTACTCTGCCCCCCTCCTCCACAGTCCTGCCCCATGAGTCAGCTTGAAGCCATGATCTAGAGCCAGACAGGCTGGGTAGCAGGGAAGTGAGTCTTAGAGCTTCTCATTGACAAAGCAGGAACTGAGAGGGCTCTGGGAAAATAAGCAGATGCCAGGCATGCTGGGGTCAAGTAGGGCATCATGTCATCACCTGGCTTTCCCAGGGCAAGGACTCAAGAGGCCAACTTGGATGACCAGGGGGTGGAGTGTTATAGAAAAGGCGGTTTCTGAATACATATGGTTTGGGTAGAGAAAAGGAGGGGTAGAGATGAATACATGTTGCGCCACTGACAGTGCTGTCATTGGAGTTCTGCCCTTTCCAGATACCCCAACCACCACAGAAAACCAGAATTTTCTTAGGGGTCTTACTTCTAATGAGAATGTGGTGAAATAGGGTAGTGTTAGATGCAATGATAGGAACTTGGTATAGGAAATCTTTTCAGTCTCTGGGGTACAACTCTCTTTCCCTTTCTCCCTGCCCTCCACTTCCACCTCTCTCATTGCTGACTCTCTCTATATAAGTAATATCTCTCTGCTTCTCTCATTCTGGGAGTTTTTCTCTGCACTGCCAGGACCGATTGCACTGCCGAGATCTCTGGGGCTTCCATTCTACTTTTTTGAGCCCTGCTATGTGCTTAATCCCTATACTTGAAGTTTGGTGGAGGAGCAGAACACAAACCTATCCTGAAGAACCCCATAGTCTGTCTAGGAGAATTCTTTCTTTTTTCCTTTCTTCCCCCTTCCCTTCCTTCCTTCCATCCGTCCTTCCTTTCAGATTTATGTATATATTTTAGAGATTGAGAGAGCACAAGTGTGAGGGGCAGAGAAGAGGAAGAGAGAATTTCCAGCAGACTTTACACTGAGTGTGAAGCCAGCACGGGTCTCCATCTCATGCCACTGAGATCACCTGAGCCAAAACCGAGAGTCAGATGCTTAACTGACTGGGCCACCTAGGCACTCCTGTCTAAGAGATTTCTTACGTACAAGAGCAAGCAAAACTGTCACTGGATTACAGAAGATAATGACACTGCTTTAGGTGGAGTCCAGAGAGGAGAGAGAGAGATTTATGGCTTAGGGTGGCCAGAGTAGGCTTTCTGGAGGGAATGGTGTTTGGGCTAGCCAAGGAGTAAGGACAGGACTTAGGTAGGCATACAGGGGATATTCTTTGAAGGGGAAGAGATATTGTGGATGGCAGTCAGCACAGGCTACTGCACAAAGGAGAAGCTTGATCCTGGAGGCAATATTTCCTTACATAAAGGAAGATGGCCTTCAATTTGACATTCCCCTCACCTAGTATGGGATCCTGGGGATGAACCAGTCAGTAGAGACCATCTTGTGCCCTGGCAGAAAAACAGTGGTTTGCATTTTTGTTTGTGGATCACGTTGTGGCAAAGTGAGGAGGTAGTCTTAGTTGCTTCCAGCTGTCTGACTGCCCCTGCCTTATCTCTAGTTTGCAGGGCCTAGGGGGAGGGTAGGTCCTGGAAAGTGCCTTCTGGCAGTGCCTCCTCCACTCCCCCTCCACTTGTTTTTGATTAGACTTGTTGCCTCCTATTAAAGGGATAGACTGCTGGAGGCAATTGGGAGTTTTACTTTCGAAGGGCCACCTTTGAGCTGACCTGAGGTTTGTACCTCTGAGGAGTGCTCAGGGGATACGAGTTTCTGCAAGATCTCTGCCCTTAGGGCTTTGGGGTAGCACTGTCCCTTTGGAGATAGACTTATGGGAAGGAGTTACATAACTCAGTGGCCCGGACTAGGAGGGCTAAATGGAAGAATTCATTCTTTCATTGTTGGCCCCGACCAACTCTCAGGTGGCATGATCTCTTGGATCCTGGATATTACATCCCCCCCCCTCAAGTTCAGGGCAGAAATCTCTTTGCTGGTGGCCCTGATAAGTGGTCATCCTGCCACAACTTACTTCTCACATCCTTATTCCACTGAATGGAGACCTGCCTCTCTCTGATTCCTTAGGTAGCCCAGCTCTGCCCTCTGGGCTCTGGATCCCAAGACTGCTCCTTCTGTTTCTGAAGAGCTTTTCATATGGGAGAAGGATATCCTGGAGGGTACTCTGGGAGCTCACAATTGGAGAGGAGCCTTACCATTGGCTCCAGGCATTCTGGCTTATGTCTGCTCTTCTTTCCTCAGGGTCCGGCTGAGCCCAGGAGCTGCACGGAATGGTGGCAGTCACCTTGCCAGTGCAGCGGGAATGGACCAGACTGCAAGCTAGGAGAGCAAGGCATCAGTCAGGAAGAGGGAACACACATCTAGGCTTAAGGCCTCTTCATCGGCGTGAGTGCTAGGGAAAGGGAGGGGAAGCAGTTCCAGTAAGAAACCTGAGCTAAACACGTTACCCTCTTGGAAGTTCTCGCACTGGTCTATTATTAATGGGATCAATATTCCATTAATTTTTCTGGGGATTTGGACACCTTCACCCCCAGGAACCCCACAAGGTCATCTCTTCAGGCTGGGGGAGGATCTGAAACTCAAGTGGAAGGGAGAAGACTCATTGATTCCTCTGATGGTCTTTTCTTCTCTTCTCTTGCACAGATGTCCCCAGGCCCCCCAGCCCAGGCCCAGCATAAAGGCTGTGTGGGGGGGCCCCCCTGACCCAAGGGGGGCTTCATGCGCCACGTGCAGGCGGAGCCGTCTCCATCCTCAGAACCAGAGGCTGGCCCTTCACAGCCTGCAGTCAGGCAGGGGGCCCTCCAGGGTGGCCTGCTCATGGGCTACAGCCCAGCAGGGGGGGCGACATCCCCCGGGGTCTACCAGGTATCCATCTTTTCCCCTCCAGCTGGTGCCTCCGAGTCTCATAGGGCCCTCAAACGGCCGGCCCCATCCACTGAGGTTCCCAGGGAGCTGAAGAGAGGTCCTGGGCTGGGGGCCAGAGAGGGACTACCCCCTGAAGAACCATCTACTGTGAGACTACTAGGCCCAGAGGGACTGGAGCTGGGACTGGGTGTGACCAGCCAGCATTTCTGCCATCATGGCCTCTGTGTTGTGGAACAGGGAACTAGCTCCACCTCACCTTGGACTTCAGGGGCCCAAAGTCCCCCCTGTTCCCCATCAAATGCTTCCTGCAACAGTTTGCACACCAGAGACTGGGCTTCCCCAGATCCAGGGAGACAGGGGTCCCTGGGGGAGTCTCCAGGGTCAGCCCCTCTGGGCCAGCTGCACACATTTGACACTGATTTGCACAGTCTTGCACAAATAGGGGGTAAGAGCCCAGTGGCTGGGGTGGGCAACGGGGGCAGCCCTTGGCCTAGGGAGTCCCCTGGCACTGCCAATGGGCATAGTCCCGAGCACACACCCCCTGGCCCTGGACCTCCAGGCCCCTGCCCCACCAAGCGAAGGCTGCTTCCTGCTGGAGAAGCCCTGGATGTCAGCTCTGAGGATGAGGGGCCAGCCCCTCGGAGGCGCCGGGGAACCCTGGGCCGCCCTCCTGCTGCCAACAGTTCTGATGCCAAAGCCACACCCTTCTGGAGCCATCTGCTGCCTGGGCCCAAGGAGCCTGTGCTGGTAAGCCAGGAGAGGAGATGGTCTACTCTTAAGTAGATACATGTATGGGAAAAGGTGAAGACTAGGGGTGGGGGATGTTCCTATGAGAGCTTGTAATGAGTTCCTGCTTGCAAACATACTTGGCCTCCACCCAATCTCTTTTTGTAATCTTTCCTCTCCATAGGACCCAATAGACTGCAGTCCCATGGGGCGGAGGCTGAAAGGTGCCCGTCGCCTAAAGCTGTGAGTGATCAGCTTCTCCCTCTGCTCTGTCCCTGCAAACAGGGCAAAAGTCTGTAATCCTTTTTCCAACCCCAGGGTAGGGGACCCCAGGGCAGGAGCCCTAGATAGTGGCAAAGGGTGAACCCAAGGACATGAGGTAGCATAGCAGAATGCTTTAAGCCAACACACTGTGTGTCCCCTCCCCTACCAGGAGCTCCCTTCGAAGCCTCCGGAAGGGGCCAGGCCTGCTGAGCCCCCCCAGTGCCTCCCTTGTTCCTACCCCTGCCGTCAGCCGTACCCTGCTGGGCAACTTTGAGGTAGTTCCCCTTGGATTCTGTAATTGGGGGGCCTTGGGGGAAGTGAGATGGTGGAATGTGGCTTGGATGGGTAGGGAAAACAGCTGGTGTCTGTCTCCTAATATGCTTTCCCCATCTCCGCCCCAGGAATCATTGCTGCGTGGACGCTTTGCACCATCTGGCCACATTGAGGGCTTCACGGCAGAGATTGGAGCTAGTGGATCCTATTGCCCCCAGCATGTCACGCTGCCTGTCACTGTCACCTTCTTTGATGTTTCTGAGCAAAATGCCCCGGCCCCCTTCCTGGTATGACCTGACCTCAACTCTAAGTTAGTTGTGAGGAGGATGAGGGGTTGGTGGCAGAAGGAATTCTTAGGTGTTCAGGGCCCGGTGGGGAGAACTCTTGTGTGGGGCAATGGCCAGGCCCAGAGTGAAAGATTATGGAGATGGATGAGACCCCACCTTAGCTGATGGCTCCATGGCCTTTCTAGGGTGTCGTGGACCTGAACCCCCTGGGGAGGAAGGGTTACAGCGTGCCCAAGGTGGGCACCATCCAAGTGGTAAGTTTTCCCTGAGGAGGAGGGGGAGTAGGGAGAGGAAAACAGCCCCTAGACCCTACGAACCTTGTTCTGTCCTGCCCCCAGACCTTATTTAACCCCAACCAGACTGTGGTGAAGATGTTCCTTGTGACTTTTGACTTCTCGGACATGCCTGCTGCCCATATGACCTTCCTGCGCCATCGCCTCTTTTTGGTGCCTGTGGGTGAGGAGGGAAATGCTAGCCCCACCTGCCGCCTCCTCTGCTACTTGCTGCACCTCAGGTTAGGACAGTGCCCAGGGGCGGTTGGGAAGGTCCAGGGAAAGAATTTTCCCCACCCCGGGTTTTCTCTTCTCTGAATAGGATCTCTCCTGGCCTCTAAACTGTCTGGATCCTTTCTTTGATCACCCTGTCCTCCCCCAGGTTCCGGAGCTCCCGCTCAGGCCGCTTAAGCCTGCATGGAGACATCCGCCTGCTTTTTTCACGCCGGAGCCTGGAACTGGACACAGGGCTCCCCTACGAACTGCAGGCAGTGACTGAGTCCCCTCACAACCCACGTTATTCACCTTTGCCCTGATTGTCAGTGCCCTGAACCCATGGGGGCCAAGTACCAGCCCATCCTGCTCCATCCCGAACAGAGCAAATACGTGGAAAGGTGGCAAAAGATCCTTCAGGCTTGAATTAAAGCCCTCACCATGCTCATGCCCAAATTGATTATTTGGGTATTTAAGGCTTCCTATCCTTACCACACTCTGCTCTACTTTGGGTACTCCACGTGCCTCCCCACCCCCTTGGATTTCCCAGGCCAGCTTAGGTAGTGGGGAGACACCAGAGCTATCCCAAGGTTATCCCAAGTTCCCAGGCAAGTTATGCCAGCGTTGCCTCCCTGTCCTGGGCAGGGGCCACTTATTATTTTATTTATTTTTAATTTATAATTTATTCAAATTGGATTGCCTTGGTAACCTCCCAAACCTGGTAATTGGCATTTCCCCTCCTCTATTCCCACTCTCAGATATTGCTCCAAGCTCAGGAGTTGAAGAAGCTGATGTGGGGGTTAGGGAAGAAATCTTTTTCCTCAGCTGACAGCAGAGAGGTTATCCCAGAAGGACTGAGTCACTAGCCAAAGACTCAGCTTCCCGTGCCCTATCTTATACCTTTCACTTCCCCATCCTCTTACCCCTCTCTGAAAGCCAGCTGTGTGTGTGTGCATGTGTGTGAGTGTGTGCACGTATGTGCGCACATGCAAGCTTGTATTTGTGTGGTGTGTGTGAGAGACAGCTTGCATGCATGCACACACACAGGTTAACCACCCCTCATCTAAGTCTCCAGATTCCAGTTGTCCCTCTCCTCTTGCCTGTGTCTCCTTGCTTTGGGGTCCTGACTGAGGAAGGTGTTCAGGGGGCAGAGTCAGGGCCAAGGACCGGGGTGCCTCCTCTCATCTGGCCAGACTCTGACCCACCTACCTCAGCTGGGGTGAGGGACACCCCTCACACCCAGTCATGTGATTCCCAACTACCCCAATACCCACACCAGATTCTGACCCAGCCTTAGCCCTAACTCCTGGGGCTGGGCTGAGGGGAACAAGCAATTGCTTGAAACTTGAACAAAAAGGAAAAAGGAAAAAATTGTACCTGGTACTTTTTTTCAAGAAAAAAAAAAAAACAACAGAAAGAAAGAATAAATTCTTGTTTGGAAACTTGAGCTAAACCTTACTTTTTCTGTTGGGGAGTGTATGGTAATGGGGATGGAGGGCCTAACTGGAGCTCAGACTCTTCCCATTTTTCCAAAGAGGACACCTGAGACCTAAGGCCATGAAGTCTTAGGCAAGGTCCTAAAGATTCTCAGGATCTGGTCTTGCTCTTTTCAGATAAATGGGGTTGGGTGGTGGGGAAGATTCAGTCCACAAAAGCTAAACTCTCTGAATGTAGACCTGCATTCCTATAGTGGTTCTTTTGTTACTGATTTTAGCCCCTCTTGAACTTATGTGCCCCGAAATGTAAAATGAGAGTGATTTAATGGAGGTCTCTTAAAAGACGTGCCCGAGCATCAGGGATGTGTCCAGTGACATGATCCAGAGAAGGCCGAATGTAGGGGCTGTGTGGGGCGCTATGCAAGGGCGCTAGGCCTGATAAACTGGGAAGAGGTCGAAAGAGGTAGAAAAAGCTGTGGTGCTTTGCGAAAAGAGGGGAAGGGGAAATCTCAGTCCAATCACTAGGCATTGTTAGGCCCAGTCACCACGGCAACGGGAATGGGGTCAGTCCCTAGTGGGAGGGCTGGATACAACACAGCTGGGCTACCTGACTATGTCACTATGGCAACCGTAGGAAAGAGCGCCAATCCCCTGGTCGCTATGGTGACAGGAGCGTTTATATGCTCAGAAGGGTAAACTGAGTCTCCTGATGGAGGTAAAGAATTCGATGGGAGGTGTTCTTGGGCCAGCTGCACGTGAAAAATAGCCTGTATAGTCACCATGTCCGGGATCTTGGACTCGATCAACGAGAACTAGAACGAGTTCCACCCTCCGGCCTTCACTAGAAGGCCTGCATCTCCAAGGAAACAATTTGATACACACTGCAGCTGAATAATGCTGATTGGCTGAGGTTGGGGGCGGGGGGCAGACGGCCGGAAGTACGTCTGGGGAGTGGAAATATAGGAGGAAAGGCTCGGGTCCGGGATTCTAGAGCGACCTCTCTGCTCCTCGTCTCGTTGGTTCCGGAGGTCCTTCGGCCGTGGGAAATGCTGGCGCGCGCGGCGCGGGGGACTGGGGCCCTTTTGCTGAGGGTGAGTTCGGGGGAACCTTCTCCAAAGGTCGGGCCAGAGAGCACCTGGGTCCGTACCTGGGAAGCAGCGGGATTCTAAGTTTTGTCAGAGAACTGGGGTCAGAGGTCATGGTATCCACGTGAGTTCCTCTCGGAGGACCCTTTAGGGTCGCGGTTTAGGAAGATGTCTCCTGGACAGGCGCCGAGAGGGTTGGGGTGCCCCGCCGGCTGAGGTCTCAGCTAATCCTTGTCTTTTCTTTAGGGCTCCGTACAGGCTTCTGGTCGTGCTCCGCGTCGCGCCTCCTCTGGATTGCCCCGAAACACCGTGGTACTGTTTGTGCCGCAGCAGGAGGCCTGGGTGGTGGAGCGAATGGGCCGATTCCATCGGATCTTGGAGCCTGTGAGAACCTCCTCTGCCCACTCAGGGCCAGCCGGATGGCGAATTCCCCCATGACATGGGCGAATGGGGTGGGATCTCCTTTGAGCCTACCCCCACCTTTGGCTTCCAACTCCCCCAGCCAGACCTAGCGGACCCCAGGCTGCTGAACTTCATACCCATGTTACCATCTTTTCCTGTTTGCTCTAGCATCCCACAGACCCCGTTCTTGGGTATCTCCCCTATCTACTCTCTCAGCTCCACCGTCTGCTACTCTGCTGGCGCCTATTCCATTGATTCTCTCTTCCATTCAGTTGTGCCCCCTTGTATTCCTATCCTCTTGGGCTTCCCTACCATTGACACCCCCAGCTTTCTGCTGTACTTGGAATGTTCCACATGTTGATTCCATACCCACTCCAGGCCTAGCTTGAATCCCAACCCTACAACCCTCATCCTGAGGACCCATGACTCCTCTTCCCAGGGCTTGAACATCCTCATCCCTGTGTTAGACCGGATCCGATATGTGCAGAGTCTCAAGGAAATTGTCATCAACGTGCCTGAGCAGTCGGCTGTGACTCTCGGTGAGGGGTGCAGGGTGACACGGGTTTTCTGAGGCCATTAGGATGTGGTTGCAGGAGATCCAGAGCTCAGGAGAAAGAGTTGACTGAAAATTGGAGGCCTGATTTTCCCCCTTTTCTCTCCCACTCCTGTACCTGTAGACAATGTAACTCTGCAAATCGATGGAGTCCTTTATCTGCGAATCATGGACCCTTACAAGGTATCTCCTGCTTGCTTTATTCAGCTTCTGAGTTGCTTTTCTCACTAAAATCCTGCACTCAGGCTTCTTAAACTATCCATGCTCTTTTCAGGCAAGCTATGGTGTAGAGGACCCTGAGTATGCTGTCACACAGCTAGCTCAGACAACCATGAGATCAGAGCTCGGCAAACTCTCTCTGGACAAAGTCTTCCGGGTAAGGGGATCTGAGCCAGAGTTAGTGTTGAAAGACACATACCTCTCACTCTCAGTCCTTTCTGGGGGTCAAGATCAGTCAGAGGCACTTCTCAGCTTAGACCCTTGATCAGTGGGTTGAAGCCATGGAACTTATACCTCTTTTTCCAGGAGCGGGAGTCCCTGAATGCTAGCATTGTGGACGCCATCAATCAGGCTGCTGACTGCTGGGGCATTCGCTGCCTCCGTTATGAGATCAAGGATATCCACGTGCCACCCCGGGTGAAAGAGTCCATGCAGATGCAGGTGGGGGCCAGGGAGGGATGGGGAAGAGGAGTTCAGGATGCTCAAGTCTCATGAGTACCTGAACTCCCTTCCCTATCATGATGGGTACAATTACAGGTCTCTGTAAGAGTTTATTCTGGCTTCTTTTTGATGGGGCTTGTTGGGGGCTTCTAGGTGGAGGCAGAGAGGCGGAAACGGGCCACAGTTCTAGAGTCTGAGGGGACCCGAGAGTCAGCCATCAACGTGGCAGAGGGGAAGAAGCAGGCACAGATCCTGGCCTCCGAGGCGGAAAAGGCTGAACAAATAAATCAGGCAGCAGGTCCGTAGAGGGTAGAGGCTGAGGGAGGAGCCGGGTGTGGATCTTTGAGGGTTGGTGCTGTGACAGGAGCATTGACGTACCCTGACCTCATGAGTAAAGCTTTGTCTCTTTTCTTCCAGGAGAGGCCAGTGCAGTTCTGGCCAAGGCCAAGGCTAAGGCTGAAGCTATTCGGATCCTGGCTGCAGCTCTAACACAACATGTAAGAGGCCCCAGGGTGGGAGTCGGGGACAGGAATTGACACTGGAAGAGGTTTTCTCATCTACCCTTGGGAGAAGTTCCTGCCTTTGTGGGTTCCATTCAGCCAGATTACATGATCTCTTGTATTGTGATCTGCATTGTGATCTGATCCTTTTTTCAGGAATCTGATTTCTTTTTTCTCCCCTCCCCTCTACGTACCCTCTGTCCTCAACCCCTTGTCCAAGTCTGTGATCTGTGTTTTTTTCCCTTCTATGGCCACAGAATGGAGATGCAGCAGCCTCACTGACTGTGGCTGAGCAGTATGTCAGTGCTTTCTCCAAACTGGCTAAGGACTCCAACACTATTCTGCTGCCCTCCAACCCTGGCGATGTCACCAGTATGGTGGCTCAGGTTAGAGCGCCCCGAGGACCCAGCACAACACCAATGCCAGAAACTGAGACCCCACCACCACCATCACAACTTACACACCATGGAGGCTTTTGGAGTTCCATGAGACCTAGACCTCCTGTTAGCCTCTGTAGAGAATAAATCTCTAAAAACGAAACACTCCTTACCCCTGTACATAGGGGCTCTTGAGACATCTCTTTTTTGGGGAGATACCTACACCAGTATTTTGAGGGTGACCCTGTTTTGACAGCTTATAAGATTCTTAGAATCAGCTCAAAAGTTTGAGGCTTGAGAGAGAGAAAGGAAAAACAACCATACTGGGCCCAGCCCCACTTTCTTTTTAGTCATTGGTGGGTTGGGCTGTGCCTTCTGTTATGTGTCCTCATGGCTCTCTCTTTGTCCCTCTTCTTAGGCCATGGGTGTATATGGGGCCCTCA